TGCTGCCAGATTTTTACCACAATGTGGAAAGAACCTTCCTGAGAATGAATCTGATATAGAAGAAACCAGAGCCAAAGGATGGAGAAAAGAGAGAAAGAGAAGAGCATTGTTGATTCCCTGCATCCGGCAGTGCCTGAAGCTAGGATACCAGCAGCTAGGTTTTCTAGTAGAATGGATTTCCAGTATCCAATAAATTCCCTTTCCTGCTTAAAACAGCTTGAGTAGAGTTTCCAATGAGCACGATATTATTCTCTTTATTAAAGCTGATTATGATGTTTTGCTTGTATTCCCCTGAGGCCAAACCACTCCCTCAGAAATCTGGTTTTCCTTATTTCCACTTACTCCCTCGAATTAAATTTCTACTTGGGAAAATATGAAAGTGCCCCTCATGCCTATATACAAATGAGCATAACTAATATACTCCTTTATATTATTTAATTAGTGGCATTGTGTTCAATTTCCTCGATGTGATTTACTAAGGTATGTGTAGAGTTCTATCAATGAAAGTGTGCCACACAATGAGCACTGGATGGAGGTTTAGCCCTAGGTCTGACATTAAATGACATCACTTAAGCAATGTGACCTTGTTTGGGTCATTTGTCTTGCTTGGGTTCCTGTTCCCTCATTGGCAAGTGTTCAAGTTAAGCTAAAGAATGTCAATAATTGCTCTCTCTATATAGTGATATAATCATTTCTAAGATGATTTCTCATTAGATTACAGTATTCTCTATATATCATCTTCACAGGTGCTTTCAGCTATAAAATTCTATGACTATCAATAGATCATCAAATTATTTCTTTACCTAGAAATGCCAACTGCCAACTCTGAAATTTCTTGAAGTGTTATTATTTCCATGGTCTGTTTTTCCATTCATCCACTACTCAGCCACCCAGCCTTCTCTTCATCCATTCAGCAAGCATTTATTGCATGCTGCTACTTATTGGGCACTGTGCTAACAGACACAGTTCCCACCTTGGGGAATATGCCACTTGGTGATGTGCAAGAGGGCTTATCAGTTAACTTTCCCCAAACCCTTGGTGGAGAAAAACAACATCATTTTCTCTGTTGACAAGAAGGAATTCAAAAACATGAAAAGCAAAAATCCTAAGTCGTATCCCCAAGAAATGCACTTGCTGAATTCAGATCTCACTATTTTTTATTTTGCCAAGTCTTCTTCTTGTGCAACACCTGCAACTTGCTTTGACTTGCACCTTGAGGAAGTCACTCAACTTCCCTGAGTCTTGGTTTTCTCATCTATAAAACATGAGGCTTGGGTTTTATATACGATTTCCAAGTTATCTCTCATATTCAGCACTTTATGTCTCTAGAAATACATCCGAGTTACTGGGGAAGGAGAGGAGGGAACATGAATCCCACAAAGCACACTTGTGGCTGCATTTAAAAAACAAATATCAGCATACATTCATAGTACAAGGGAATGTTGTCGGAACTATAGCTATTGAAACACAGGTTGGATGGAGCCAAAAATAGCTAAGGCAGCCACAGTTAATGCAGGGAAACTGCCATGAAGCGTTTCCTTGGCAATTGACTTACTTAAAGGTAAAGCAACTCTGTTTGATCAAAGACTGGTTTCTCCGTTTCTCATCCTCTCTATGGGTTCTTTGAATGTAATTCAGTGTAAAGGCAAAAAAATGGCTGAAAAATCCATTCCTCCACAAAACAAAGGTCATCCAAAAATATCAAGAAAAGGGCAAACCGGTTGGATGCAAACAAGGAGGTACTTTCACAGGAGAGGCCGGCTCGGCCCCCGCTGCCCTTGAGTGTGCTTGCACCATCTTAGGACCACTTCCATCCTAAACAGCTTCCTATGGATCGCTCTGGAATCACTGGCACTAGAATTTACAGGAGTCTGACATCTGTCAATCTGATTGTACAGCCTTGGATTTCAAACCAGAGTCAGCTCCTTCTAGAGAAGGAAAAAGGACAATAGCTGCTATTCCTTAGCATGCATAATCAATGCTGCAGGGGTTGCTAAGCAACAGCAGAAAGGCTGTCAAACATCCCTGGTGCCTCCAGTGGAAGAGGAGTGAGCCCAGCAGCCACTCCACAGAGGTAGAGGCTGCGCAGGCCCTGGAAGCTGCCTTTGCTTTGTTTCATTCCTTAAAAAAAATCCCTTTCTTGTGGTCAGGGATGAACCGTAGATATTTCCCTCCCAGGCTCCTTTAGATAGTCTTTGCATAATATACTTTCAATTGGCCCAAAGCCCTAAAAAATGAGCAGGTCAAGCTGGCGAGAGGCAGCGCTGTGAAAGGTCCCTGGGTTACTCTGATCCAATTCACCCTGGAGCTTGTGGAAGATCCAGCTTGTGTCCCTTACAAGGCTGCAGCCTCTGAATCCCAGAAAACTGAAATGAACCTTCTTTCAGAAGCTTGGAATTATTCTAGCAAACATAAGCCAAACCTATTATTTCAACAAAAATTCACATGCGGGGTCACTGACATGAGATTTCTTAGGTTAGTGACCATGAAGTTAGTATGACTTTTTAGTCTGCAGACATTTTGTCTTCCCTATTTGAGATGACAGTTTCATTTGAATTTTAATAAGAAGGGGACTAGCAAAGAGAAGAAGTCAGGATTTGATAAAGGGATTCCACCACCACCTCCTTTTTGGTTCTTTTTTCCACGTTGATTAACAATCACTCATTATCACAGGCCATTAATTTGCAAACACTTATTTGGGAAAGCCAGGAGATACTTGAAGACTAGGTCCTGGGTGTGTTGCAGAGGTGGTATTGGGGGTTTAATTGAGATCTAAATCAGAGAGGGGCCTCCCTGACAGTGGTGATGTCAAATATGCCTAAGCAGAAGCTCATGGTGGACAGGAAAGTGGAATGCTGTGTGGTCTCCCTTAAGGCCAGGCCAGGTAGCGGTGGCTAAACATTGCTGTCACCAGCTAACCCTTCACCCAGTAGTCCAAGCCCTGAAGTCCTGTTTTAGCATGTGTTTAGAGGGAAATGTGACACACAGGTTGAAGGTGCCCTATATTTAGCTATGCAACACCCTCTCCTTAAGGGCACTGCAAGAAGTACAGAGAAGTAGGAAGAGGATAAGGAATGGTACTAAGATGAAAGGCTCAACCCACAGAGAAATTTTTTAGATCTATCTCTTTATCTGGCTGAGATTTTTTCCAACTATTCCTACACTATCATCTAGGATTCTCTAATCTTGCAGGATTTTCTCACATTCAAAGATGTCCACCTTGCGACACTGGGAAGTGAATTCTAGAGTCTGAAGGCCTGACTTAGCTTCCTGGGTGGCCTCCAAGAAGCAGCACAAAATGTGAGCCCAGAATACGATCCCAGGGTCTTCAGTTTCCTTGTCTGTAACACATGGCTAGGCTAGGATTACATGTTCCCAAAGATTCTTCCAGCTATAACATTTGATCAGACTATGAATTTACAAAAACAGAGCCACCTTTTGGTCCAATTGAACCAAAAGGAAAAAAAAAAAAAAGATAGAAGCAGAAGAAAGCAAAGACTGCAGACCTAACACTGTCGAATGTTCTGAACATTTTGTGCTAAAAAAAACAACAAAACTTTTTGAGTAAATGAAAGAAAAGAAGTAGTAGCAATCACAGCAATTAAACATCTCCAGAACCACTGCATGATTCTGACTTTGCACCTTCTACCCCATTTGATTTCACCTCTTTTCCTCACTCCCCTGTGTGCTCTCCCCCTCCATTTGCTTATCTTGGGGAGACAATATTTATTTGATATATTTTACATGTACCATCCCTAGAAAGGTCTGTCCTTTATTCACCCCGAAGTGCAGCTGTTTGGAGGCTTCTCTGAGAGTTTAGGAGTATCATGTCACCCTGGTTAGTATATTTAATGACAAAGAAAGCAAATGCACAGTTTTTCCATCTGGATGAACCATAACAGAAACTATTTAGGATGGGTAGATCCAAGAATAATCTTATTTATCTCCTCAATTACCCCTTAGGTATACCCTGAAACACTTGAATGCTAAGTATAGCAGTCATTTGATTTTTAAAAATGAGAAGTTGGCCTGGTTATAACTAGTAAACAAATGCCATTCATACAAAAATGTTCCCTGTTTGGCAGATATAAAAGACAACAAAAAACTCAATCATCTTATATTAAACCAAGAAGTTACATTTTAGTACAATTGGCCATGTCCATATTCATTTGGCACTCAATTCATTTTCTAAATATATGCTTCTTTTAAGTCTTTTATATATATTACTCAATACTTTGGTGAATTTTTTTTTTAATTTTGATAATTCATGTGTAAAATATCTGCTCAAGTTGTTTGTGCTATTTTTGTTAATTCTTATGTTTTAGAGAGCTCAATGGAAACTTTATCTTTATCAATAATAATGTTTATCTTATCGAAGGCCACGGTTACTTTTTTTGAGTTTATGAGGATACGTCTATGATAAAGGACTTTTAGACTTGTTTATTTTAGTGAGAGCCCCACGTCTCCTAGGATGGCAGAGTCCACAGGAGATGCTGTCTACTCCGGATGAAATCATGCCTGCGATATGGGGCCTTGGAAACATCTGGGAGGGACAAGGTAGAGAACTGAGTGGAGCAGAGGCTGAGAGGGTAAATAAAGTCCACAATTCTCCCTTCTGGACCATGAACCTGAGAACAGCTTTAGCTGAGCTTGGCAAAAGCACCAAGCAATCTGGGAAGACAAGTTTGATTCTTCAAGACTTAGCTGGTTGAATTCTGTTTGACCTCACCAACTTAACATCCAGAATTTAGTTAACATGGATTTGGAAGAGTAGCTTAGAGCTATTTATAGCCTGAAGACTGGTCAGTTGCCCCTGAGAAGAACCTCTGATGGTTGAATATGACCCAAGTATCCTTCCCACTGCCCGGTTAGTTAAAGGAATTTGAATACATCCACCATAGCAGACACAATTTGCTCCTGAATTGGCTACTAAAATAAAATAAAACTTCCACACATTAGTGAGACCATGGATAATGAGACATTCTGGAATGTTCTCTTACCTTCACTGCCACCAAGATCTTGTCCTGTTCAGGACAGAGGTTATAGCATTCAGCTAGGAAAACTTTTCCAAAGGCTCCTTCGCCTAGCTCCCTTTTCAGAACAATGTTATGTCGCTTGATGTGCTGAACAACTGTAAAACAAAGACAGAATGGAAATTGGAATAGAAGCTTGCGGAGGGGAAGGCAAAGGGCAGGGAGTCAGTGGCCTGCGCCTGAGTGTGCAGGCCCAGGGTTCTCTCCTCTGCATACACTGAACCAAAGGAGAAGCTCATCGTTCATCTTCATAGTCCAGCCCAAATGCCCGGAAGGAGGTTTCATCAGCTTGCTCTCTGGAATTCAATTATTGTTTTTGATAAGACTAAAGTAGAGGCCTACCTGTTGGCTACAAAATATCATCAATGAACGCTACAGACTAGGGAAGGGGAGAAATGAGAATGAAATTAACATTAGTGGCAAGCCTCTTTATAAGTCAGATTCTTTGCATGTATTTGTTAGTCATGTGTCTGGTGGGGCAAGGCAGAGACATAGCCGGGAATCCCTAATTCTTTGTTAAGCCATCTCAGACTCCTAAGGGAGATAGGCTCAAAGGACACAAAGGGGAAAATGCAAGATCTCTGCAGTGTTAATTAAGGCTTTGGCCTCACCCAAGTTTTAGCCTTCTGTGAGGTGAGATAGACCATGGTTGAGCCCCAGTGACTTCTTTTGCTTAGACCAGAAATAGCCAGGCTGTGCTAGAAGCTGGCTTTCTTAGCCCCTTCCTAAAGTCAGGCCCCAGTCCTGGCTCTCCAAAGCCAAGAAGAGACAAGAATAGAGGAATCTGGGGAAGAGAGAAGAATATTTCTCCCTACAGTCTGGAGCAGAGCTGGGCCAAGTCACTCCTCCAGATGCCTTTGTGGGGAGCAAGGCAGGAGGCAGTCAAGGGTCCTAAGAACTCACTGGCTGCAAGGTGTACACCAGAGAGAGGACAGACGTAACGGAGGAGACACCTACGTGGAGACTCCGCAGAGGACAAAACTCCAGTGCCTCTTCACCCAGCACGTTAAATGTTGGCTCCTTAGCACTGGCTTATCACTGGGTCTTGGCCACTATTCTTTTCTGAACTCCTTGTCCCTGGATGGTGGTGTACTAAAGAGAGATTGTGAAGCCCTCTAGAATGTGTGGCCACCAATGTTCTCTCAATACATTCTCACAAGTCCATTCCTCTCTGCATTTTATAAGTGGGCAGACAGTCTGCAGGAATGCCAAGGATTCCGTCTGGGAATGGAATTGGGATCTGAACCCAAGTCTGTCTGAATCCAGAGTCCAGCCTCTTTCTTCAACACCACCAAGTCCCTTTTCAATTGTAAATCATGTTAAACATGACTAGAGACTTGATTTACATGAGAAATAGAGTAAAAAGGAAAAATAATCCCCAGGCCTTCTTTTTGCTCAGTCCACCCTTCAAAGTCCAGCTCAAATTCTTGCTCCCTGGGGGACAGCTTTTCAGGAGCTCTTTGACCACCAAAGACCCCCTCTTCTCAACGAGCATTGGATCATGGCTTGTGCTTAGTTGTATTTGGATTTATCCTTCACTCATTTCACACCTGCAAGTTCCCAAGGTGAAGAGGGAGTCCCGTATGTCTCCTGAGACTCTGTGCAATACCTCAGGTGCTAAGCACAAAGTAGAGATTTAGTATTATGGTGTAACCTGATAATTTTTCTTTAAAAGTTTTTTTCCCCTTGATTATGAACTGCATTATAAAAGCAGAAAGAAATATAAAACATATCCCTGCAGTTTAAAGAATAATAATAAAATTTATCTTTACAAACCCACCATCTCATTTAAAAAATAGAATATCACTAGTACAGTAGGAACATAACTGTATTCTTTCATGATTGCAGTCACTTCCCTATTTATCTCTCAGGGATACCCACTATCTTAAATTTTGTGTTAATCATTTCCTTTCTAAGTTTGCTGCTAACATTATATCCCTAACAAGACAGAGTGCAGCTTTGCCTGTTTTCAAGCCTACATAAATGGAATCATACTATATGAATTCTTCCATATCTTGCATCTTTCTCTGAACAATGCCCTTGAGACTGAGTTACACTGTGTATGTAGTAGTAATTCTTTCTCTCTTACTACTTCATAATATTCTGTGGAAGGACTATACCACCATTTATTTATCCATTCTATGTTGATGGATACCCTATACGGTTTCTTTCTAGACACAACTTTATATAAAATGCGAGTGGTGATTAAGGTTTTGCTTTAATGGGATTTTTTTCCCCTGATAATTCATATGGTTTGGAGCTGTGGATGGCTCTCTGAGCCTCTGGGAACTCTGGGTAATAAAAATCAAAGGGTCTTTTTATGAGCAGCAATATTAATGAATATAAGAACATATATTAATTTCTCATGCTCCAGTAGCAACGCCTGAATTTAAGAGGAGAGAAATGTGTTCATTAGGTAGAGTGCCCATATAAAGACACAAATGTAATTCTTGCAGAGAATTAGCTGCCGTATTTAAATCTAATATTTAACTCCTTGGTTGTCACATGTTCATTGGGAATTAAATTGCCACTTGATTTACTTCACACTCTAACCAGACCAAGGCAAGTATTTAACTTTTTTGCATTTGATTTACACATTTTTTCTTTTATTATTAAAAGGGAAAAGTTGGTGAAAAATAAGTTTTAAAGGTACCATTTCATCACCTTCAAAATTAAAATTGATTAAATTAGTTTTCCCATGTCAACCTTGAAAGTAGTAAATGCATATTTTCCATAGGAAATAGGCTACTGTATTTGCATTTATTTGCTTTGTTGTGCTTTGGGGTACAGATTATCTGAACAGTGTCCTTTTGCCAATGTATTCTCTCTACACAGAGAGACTGAAGCTACTTAAAGGAATAGGTAACAATTTTGTATTTGGATGCCTATGAGACCTGCATACAGTTGGTGCTATATAAATATTTTTGAAAAAATATGTTCAATAATAATACCCAAACATAGGTACTATTGCACTATATTATCTCAGTTAACTGATGACAACCCTACTGAGTATGTAGGTGATACAGCAGCCCAATCTCTTGGGCATCAGAAGTGGGGAGAACATCTGATCTAAAGCTCTCAGATCACTGAGCTAAGAGTTTCATTCCATTCTGCTCCAAGAGAGCAGCAGGGCTTATCCGTGTCTCATTTCCCTTTTCCCATTTCTCTTGGACATTGCAGGACATCCCTGGTTATCCAGTCTTTCACTCCAACATTGCTTGTGCCTGCCCTGCCAGCTCTCAAAAGCCCTCTGTGTCCCTGAACACTCTTCCATAGTGCTCTCTGGCCTCACTGCCTGTGACTCCACAAGCTCCTCATTTCCTCAACTGTAGTTAAAAGTCCCTGTACCTTCCTGGCTCAGATAAAACCCTGGCGATGCACCAGGGACGCCCAGGCTTTTCCTTCCCAACCCTCTCCAGTGGATGCCATCCCCCTCCCTCTTGCCCAGGTATACCAGGCCCACATGCCTCATTGTTGCCGCTTGCTCCCCCTTCCTCCTGCTAGAAGGTCTATCTTAGGGAGCCACTGCCTGTACCACCTCTACCCACTCCTTGCTGACATCTCGGTTACTCCTCTCACCCACTGAGCTTCTGGCTCACACTTTCCCTCTCCCTTATCTGTGTCTGCGTCCCCAGGGTCCGAGGCACACCGAGGTTCAGGAGCTCACCTAAGCCATAGGAACACTGGGCTGCCATTTCTCCTACATCTTTCAGAAGCTAAGAGTCTGGGTTTGGTTTGGCTCTTTGTGTGGCATTAAGCTGACTTCTGAGAGCAAGCCTTTCTGATTAAAGGAAGCAATGCAACAAACTCCTATCTTACTGTGGACTAGCACTTTGAATATCAAAGTTTTGAAGGGCCCTATGAACATTTTGATTCAATTTTTACAAAATATTCAGAGTGAAGCAAGCCTAAGGATTTCATGAGATTTTTTTTTTTTTTTGAGATGAGAGTCTTGCTATGTTGCCCAGGCTGGTCTCAAACTCCCAGCCACCCACCTCTGCATCCCAAGTAGCTGGGATTACAGACTCGAGCCAACATACCTGGCAAAAATTCCATGGTAAATAAGCTATTGTGTCATCATGTAAAATTCTTATATGCTTCCTTTCTGTGAGACCAGTCAATTTTCTGCTTTTAACTCTAAAGACTTGAGTAAAATCACCAAAACCCACCATGAATGAGCGTAACAAAAAAAAATAAGGGCCCAAATTCCAACATAAATGGCTTCCTAGATTTGGAGGAAAAGTCAAAACAATAGTTTATTTTTTTAAAAAGTTTTATAGAAAATATTTCTCTTTAAAATTCACCCTACCAAAAGAAAAAAAGGTCTCAATGTCAACTATAAGAAATACACCACCAAACTCACGTGGTCTGCATCCTGTCTGGGCATCTTTGTCATTGATGGAATTTTCCAGAGTGGAAATTTGGGGGCCTTGGTCATTTGTCTCATGAATACCAAAACTGAATAGATTTCCGGTTTTGTATTAATATCACATTATAGGACTGGAAAATGCATTGTGTCACAAAGTAGCTTCAGCAGTTTACAGAGATGCTTGCAGCCTCAGATTGCTTAAATCAAATTCCTAGCATAGAGTCTTCCCAGAAGCACACATTCTATATATACACACGGGCAATAGATAAAGTATTAATCCGTGTCTATATCCATTAGTACTAATCTAAAACTAATTTTAAAAATAAATAAATGTAATTCTACCCATTTAAGGTCTTAAATAGGAAATGTGTCTTTCCTATTTCCTCAATAATGCGGTTTCATAGAAACCCTTGGCCCAATGGACTTAACCTCCTCAACACATGGATCTTAAGCCGAGGCATTTATTGAGTATCTAATATATGCCAATTCTAAGTGATCTGCACTTAAAAAGAAAGATACTTTAAGGTTTTGACTAGAAAGATGAAAAGTAATTGCACACTAGAAGATAATGTTCTATGTAAGGGGCTCCTGAAATTTTCTCTCAGTTTCCCCTATCGTCCTCCACGCAGAGCCTCCCTTATGTGGTTCTATCTCATAGGACTGGACATGGTGATAGGAAGGGAATTGAAAGATCACCGAGATCGACTCCCTTGTGTTTGACAGATTAGT